GATCATTTAGGAAGTATAATTTCTCACAGATATCACACGTTCCCTTGTACACTGGAGAGAAAAAAAGAAAGAAATAAAACTATATTAGTTGCCTTGATCGGATAGCTTGAAAGGTAGCAATTCATATTTATTTGGATAGATCGTTATAAATTAGATCAGCTGCTGGTGAACACCGCAGTGACGGTAAAGACTTTTTAAGCATTTCATCCCAAGCAAGTGGCGGGGGGAGTCACTAGCATGCAAGGGGTTACAGTTACTGAGAGCAAGATTAAAGAAGGGTGTTTGAGGAAAGAATAAAGAGAAGGACAGTGATCAGGATCAAAGCATCAGAAGATGTCGATTGATATTACATTTGAATATTTGAAGGTTATTGTTGTCAGAAAAAAAAAGTTGGTTCTTTTTGTCGCGCCTGGAAGTTTTTCACGTCTGAGTCCATCTTTCACATTTACAAATCTACTATTTGCCCATGCATGGAATACTGTTGCAATATATGGTCTGGTAAGCCTGTTGTTCATCTGGACGTCAAAATCTAGAAACGGATATGCAATGTGATAGGTTCTGACCTGGCATCTCACCTACAGTCACTTTGTGGCTATCATCAGTTTTTTCTACAAATATTTTCATGATCTGCTCTGACAAGCTATTTTCATTGTTAACCCAACTGCATGAATTTAAGCGTGCTACTAGGTTGGCATCTAGGTCCCACCCTTTAATGTCGAAACAGTTAAATGTAACCTCCACTTCTACTACAACAGCTTCTTGTCTCGCACTTTCCGACAGCGGAACTCCCTTCCTTTTACTTGATACCCTGATAATTATAATCTTCAAAATTTAAATGTAATGTCAATCGACATCAGTTGCCTTGATCCCAGTTCTTCTTTTTATCCTTTTCTCAATCCCCCATCCCTATATCGAGTCTTTTCCCTTAACTGCACTCTGTCCTCGCTTACGTAGTAGTGGAACTTCCGCTTTGCTTTGGGTGAATTGCTTATAAATAATTAAGTAAATAATAGAGTTTTTAAACATTTAAATTACTATCAAACGTTAAAATCTGTGTTTATCTAAATAGCTATACCACCCCTATTCTTCCTTCAAAAACCCTACGTACATCTCTTATCTCTTTGGCCCCATTTTTTTCTTTTTTTCACTTTTCCCCATTTTTCTCTTTTTCCTTTACCCATATCATTTCCGTTGAGTTGAACAATTAAATAGGTCAGTGTCTGGTCCCTACCCCTTCCTTCCTCAATATTAAGCATTCTAATAAAAAGAAATATAAAAATATAAAAATAAATTTTAAAACTCTCCCTTCCCTCTCTAAACTCGATCATGTCTCTCACATCATTCCTCACCACCTTCTATGTAAACTTATATAATCTTAATACTACCCGTCAAAAGTGTAAATTTTAAATTCATTTTTCGTTTCACCTTTTGAAAGTGAAGTCTGAAGATCCAGCTCTGACAAGATTTTCGTTTCTTAAATATATATATATATATATATATATATATATTAATTTATATTTGGACAGAAACATTTCTTTTAAACATCTTTCATTAAATATGAACAAACAAGGAAAATTTAATTAATTTTTATTTATTTTTCCTAGCGTTCTTACAGTTTATACATTTGGTGGGAGTACAACCACTTACGGTATTGTCCATTGATCTAATCGTTTTCAGCCACTTCTTTAGCCCTTTTCATGAAGCTTTGTTTTCGATGTTGTTAATTTTACTTCAGATTTTGATTGTTTAATAGGTATTTTATTTTTCTGTTGTTTTGAATATTAGTAGGAGGGTTTATTCTGAAATTTCAGGCATTGAACGCCGCTGGAATTCGGGTAATCGCCTTTCTATTTAAAAAAAAAACCCTTTAAAATTCCATTCCCGTTGTTAAATAAAGTGAGGTTGGCAGTAAGAAAGAGATGTTTAATATGCAGGGCTTCTCTCATAGCAATATGTCTCCGGTAATGTAAATTATATAGAATTTTTAGTGTTTTCGACCATAATGTTTCTTGATGGTTCTTGTAAATTGTGGGTAGATAGATTTTTTTTATAGGATTTTTATCTGATAAGTGAAGCGTGAGACATCCACTCAAGGAGGTGACAGTGTATCAATGTTTAGTAATTGATTTGTGGCAATATATATATATATATATATATATATATATATATATATATATATATATATATATATATAGTTAAACCTAGTGAGCCAGACAAACCTACCCAGGTTTCACCTATGCGGATCGTCAGGGAAAGCCAGCTTTCCCTTACGATCCGTTTAGGTGAAACCTGGGTAGGTTTGTCTGGCTCACTAGGTTTATCTAGGTCTGCTCTACGGTTGTATTGAGCTCTGTCGGGGTTTTTCTTTGGGTTTCAAACCTGTATCTGTGCGATTTTTTTCGGCAGACTTTCATGTTTCTAACTCTTTCTTTTTTTAAAAACTTTTTTTCCTTCGAGATTGATTTGATTACTGGCAAATCAAAAATAATAAAAGTACAACACAAAATAGCCAACGAATAACCTGCAAACCGACCTGTAACTCCAGAGCGAAATACAAATATCCCTTAAATGGCAATTGCTTCAAAAACAATGTTATATACCAAGCCACTATAAAATCAGTAGACAGCAACAAAATATAAAAAGAGCAACTGAAAGATCCCGGAAACAAAGAAACTACGCACATAAAACATCCTTTACGAATACTAAACGAACAGTATGTGAACAGCACAATGCTTTATAAACATAGACTCATGGAAAATTCAAAAACAAACAAAACACACCAGAAAGATAACAGAAAATAAGGAAAACAGCATCAACCTGCAGTCAAAATACTGTAAGCTCTATCTGGGAAGAAAAAATACTATAGTCGCTTTTCTCGATTAACATAAATTAGCAAAGAAACGAATAGAACTCATCTCAAAATACAGACACGAAAATAAATGTTTACTACCCTACTTAAAAATCGTAAACTAAAATTGAATACCTTGCATGAAAACAACAAAATTGCAAGTCAGATAATGTCACATTATATAGGCAATGCAATACATAATCTTAAGAATTAAAATTGCCAAAACGCTAAACGGAAAAAGATATTACATAAAATAAACAAATAAATAAAATAAACAAATTTACAAACTAAAGAATGCAGCATAAACTCAACTAAATTTAATAATAATAACCAACAACAAACAACAACACTTAATGAATAAATACAAAATACCTTAAGTAGTCAATAACGCATAATGGATTATTAAAGGTCATCACAAACAACAC